ACTGGTTAAAAACAGATACCACTAGCACCCAGGGTAGGCTCCATCTATTGGTGGGGAGCGTGACCTGCTGGAAAACGGGTCCAGCGTCCCTTGTACAGAATTGAAATGAAAGAGGAAGTTGCTCTGATAGGGGATAAAGGAGGATTAAAGAGAATTCCTGCCAGCATTGATTACTCTGAGATCAGAGGAATTACTGTGCAGGGAAAGAATGATGTTTCGTCTGGTAAGCATTCCCCGGGGGGTGCCGGGGGGTAGGCATTTGCAGAGCCATCTCTTCAGCCCTGATTCGGACGCCAGAAAAAGCATCTCTTCCTGATGTGACTGCGCTGCCTATCCTGCGCCTGAGGGGCTCCACCTCCGGTACTTCTTGTCCACACCGGGGCGCTCACCGGCTCTTCGGATCTTGAATCTTGTGTAGGAACTTTTCTGTCACCCCAGGGGGGCACCCGGGGGAGGCAACTTAAGTAAGGGTCTCGGTTAGAGAAAGCGGGCGGGGAGGGAAAGGGTCCGGGAAATCAGAAGGGGGTCGCATCGGGAACGAGGGCTCAAAATTGGTCCAGTTATTGAACACCAGGCGGTAATCTCTGGGGGGGGGCTGTTGTACTCCATCCTGTCCACTTGATTGATCCCCTCCCCACTGTATCTTAGCTACCCATCCCCCTCGGTCTCCCCCAAGCCATTATGTGCAGAAGGCCGTAAGGGCCCGCTTAATGTCCTGGTCCATTTGGAAAGTATCCAGCTGGCTTTTCAAATCATACCATCTAGTACGCAGCAATTCCACCTGAATCTGCTCCTTAATCTGTTCTCTGAGCTCTCCATCCCCCGCTCTAACCGTTTCCAGACTGAGAAGGCATCGCTGCCACCACAGAGCCCAGAGAACCATTCTTCTACCAAGGCTAAACCAGTTTTCTGTGTAGATGGACGCTGCAGCCATTTCGGGGCAGTGAGAGAGTTAAGCACAAGGCTTATACAAGATGGTTTCAACACACCAACACTCAGAGCAACGACACCAGCAGAGGATCAATGGAAAGAGAAGGGGGA